TGTGGATATGTATGTATGTACGTATGTATGTACTTGTGGGTTTTATGTATGCATGTACGTATGTCTGTCAGTGTAGCGTAGGGGAGCTACGTTACAAATGAAAACAGCTCTTGTAAAGATTTTAATCTGTCGCTTTAAATAGAAAAGTTCTTTAAATCTAAAGTATATCTTAAACTGCAGCATTTTCATGTAAGTTAAGTGCCCGTTGTTCAATGTATGGCTATCACCAGTACATCATTATCGAAGATTTCGACATCATGCATATAACATGTGATCGACAAAGCAGTTGTTGTATTTAACCGGGGCTTCTACCTCCGATTTGTGTTAATCAGACATTGAACAACGGGCCTTAAGGGCCAATTTCAAATGAATATTTAAACGGCACTTAAGTTTCATTGTGGATTGCTGTTTAAATTCCATTTAGCTTTCGTTGGGTTTCAGATCAACTTTATTTAAATATGCCAACCAATTCCTTGAAATTGTTGTTGCATTTGCTTTTTGTTTACATTTTGTGCTGAACAGGTGATTGTTTTTGGTGGGATTTATTGGGATTGATTAAACAACCTACCAATCAATCTTGGTTGTTTGGTACAAACTTAGGGTTGAATATCTCATATTTGAATAGCCAATATTGGCCATTTTAGTTCAGATTAAATGTATGTTCTGAAGATGCATAGTGAAAGTTAATCAACAATCTCTACTTAAGTAGGCCATCTGAAATGGGACCTAAGCCTTTTGACCACTTCGGTATGTTAATTATAGACAATTATTTTCCGTTTACCTTTACCATCCCATGGCACACAGCATTATCCACATCGCCTTAACAGCATTATCCACATCGCCTTAACAGTATTCAAAAGAAACACATCGTACACAGGGCTGCCAACTTGGCTCAAACCGTGCCATTTTTGGTTGAAAAATAATAATATTTCAATTCATTTTTGTGAAATCCTTTGCTTTCTTGTCAACTAAAATTTTCAAATTTCTATAGTATATACAACTAACTCCCTGTGCGAGGAAACCAAATAATGTAATTCTTAACAGCAGTACTTAAAACTTAACAGTTTGGCAATTTAAACATTGTCGAAGTTGATTTCCTTACTAGCGCCTGCAACTATACTTCTTATTTACTACCGCCCGCAGCTTTAACAGTTTTATAGTGGTTTTACGTTCTTTGGTAAATTACGCTCTGTTAGCCATAAATTTTACTATGTTTTGACCGCCTTTGTATCAAGACCCCTGGACCATATACGGAATTCATTTATATTTTAAATTGCATTGTCATCGTGATTGGAACCATGGCACTATGGAAAATTTCAAGTCTCTACCTTGTCGGGAAGTTAGTTTAAAATCGATTGGAAATTTCCGTGGTATGACCAAGATAAATAAAAGCTTGTAATAAATAAAGAGGATATACACAACAATCCACAAATACACTTTTTTACCAAGGATTATATTTCGTTCAGGTATACAGCATAACTGCTACATGTAGCAAACTATTTTGGGGGTGTTAAAAAGTGCATAGTTGTTTTTTGTTTCTGCGGCACAAACGATTATACTATGGGTCTGGTTCGATATGTCGAAGTTTAAAACGTCGAAACTAAAAACACCGAAAAAAATGTCGAGAAAAATAAATAGAAAATTAAGAATGTCGAGAAAAAAATTGTCGAAAATAAAAATGTCAAAAATAAAAATGTCGAAAAAAATAGCTCAAAATAATGTAATTAATGATGGGTGAAATTCGCGCGAATTCGCGACAGATAGTTCTTGAAGAGAGTTGCCACCTCTTTAAAATGTTAAAATCTGTTAATCACAAGTTAAACAAAATGTTACAGAAATGTGGATGTTAAGCGAGAGCGGTTCAGAAACTATATATTTCGAAAGTATTTTTTAAGAGGGTTGCCACCTGTTAAAAAAGTAAAAGTCAATTAATTGATAACTAAATATACTTTAAGATGATTGCTATCTATTTAAAAAGTTAAAATGAATTCTATTAAAAAGTTTAAACGAAATATTTTAATGTGGGTATCAAACGAGATAGGAAAAATGCTTTATTGGTTGGTCAGCTTGTCTTAAGGCCCGGATGCAGCTCTAAAGAAAACGGTCAAGAAAAAATTGCCATTATTTGGTGTGTATGTCCAAGGAATTTTGACATCTGAGCCTGTTGCCTCACTCTTTCCTTAAGAAATACTTGCGTTTCGAGGACAAACAGTAAACGGTTAGAAAATATTAGTCTTATGAACGCGCCCAATGTGTCACGAATTAGGAGCATTATCAGAAAGGAATCGGTGTCTTATTTAATT